CTTTTTTCAAATCCGTTAAAGTGTGCTATCATTTTCAAGGTTTAGGAACGATACCATATCTATCTCTCTCCTTAGACCTAAGTAACTTCCTCAGTTATATAATCAAATTAAACCGAGCAATCGTAGCTTGGAACAAGAGTATTTCTGGCTCACATCCTTGATCGCAGGTTTCCCGCAGGCTTCTCGCGGTTTTCCTGCAGGTTTCCCGCACTTTCCAGCGATTTCAACCACTTTATTGCTCCTTGCGGTGATGGTACAAATTGCCTGACGAAGATTCAATCTAGACTTAATTCATTGTTTGAGCATCTTTTTAGACAAGCTACTTTATTTTTAGTTTCACTTGATAATGATCAAAACTATTTCTCGAATTACTCATAATCGGTCAAATGTTTTTTATCTTGTTTACTCACCCCCATTCCCTCGGAGTTTTTTCCACGATTCGATCCAGTCCAGATTTGGCTGGACTTGAGTTAAAACCATCGAAAAGCCAAAAATTTTTTGAAAATGGAGTTTGTGTGAACCTCACCGAGTATTCTGCCTGAGGTAAAGATGTGGATGACATCCAATAGATAAGAAACTGATTAATGGCTGTTCTATTTTTTTTTCTTTTTGTAACAGACTATCCGGCATTTAAAATACGATTTAAAAATTTATTGGCTTTGGGATGGATTTCAGTTGAGTTATGGTTTACAGACATCACTGGAGTGAATGAGGCGAACCAGTCAGAGTTTTTCAGTTCGTAATATCATAAAATCAAGATTCTCACGATTGGTTTTAACCGTTCATCCTAATTTTAAGGAGTACAAATTAACAAACGACTTGTATCATTTAGGTGAAGCACTGACTGCGTGAAATGCAGGCCCAGCAATCGGTGCGGCAAGGTTAAGTGCAAGGCTGAATAGACAAATCTCATCCCAATTATGGCATTTGTAGACTTTGCAGCGGAGAACTTGAAAAGAAAGGACCCTGTGTGAACATAATTCATACCACGTGTACAGCTGTACACTCGTGTTGAGAAATCAAAAACTCCTTACATGACTTCGGAATACGATCGAATTCTCAAGACTACAAAACTACAGTATAGATTTCTCTGAAGGCTTTCAAAAGCTGCTTGTGCCATAGTTAGTGTATGTTCACTTTGTCCGACGAATAAAAAGAAACACCCCTGTTGAAGTCAGACACAAAACACAGAAGTCCATCGGCGGGTGATGTACGGGGCCCCCTCACTTATATACACATCCAACACAATGTTAGAACCGCTTTATCCGGCCGAGTATCTTCCGTTAAATCAAAGTGTCCCTTTGTGTGGCTTTCGTGGGTAAGTAAGCGTTGAAAAGAAGTGGAAACGCCCAATTCTCTTCATTCCCGAAAGGCAAGGAATCCCTCTCTTGCCTATGCGAACCAGATTTATTCGGACAGCTCATTTGTTTTATTCTGATGTGGTTTATTGAAACTTTTTTACAATAGTTCTTCTAAGTAATTAACAATTTCCTTTGGTATTTGACAAGTTGATAGAAAGACTGCTGATTTAGCTCATTTCCCGTTTGATATACCGACATTTTCGACTATGCTTTTTCTTTTTCGGCAAAATAAGTTAAAGGAAGAATTTGGCTTTTTTTTTTTATCCAATCGAGCGCCTTTCTTTCTATGGAATGTCCAATCTTTAGTCAATTTGAAATGAAAACTGCAACAAGGTCTGTTCCCGCGACATCAAAGTTTCCCGCCGATGAAGTTTAGTGGAGTTTATTGCATTTTGTGTTTTTTCAACATCTTTAAATGTGCTTACTCCTCAATAAAGCAGCTTAATCTGTGCCACAGATCGGATGTAAATGTTCAGTGATTTCTGCCTACAAATTTGATTAACCCCTAATTGAAAAAGGTTTTTCACAGCTGACTACATAAACCTATGTTGCCTTCGTCGAAAGTGTGAATTACAATGCAACTTATTATGTGTTCGATGCAACAAACAAAGGAATTTTTGCAATAACCTGCGAAATAAACGAAATTCCTACAAGGACTGGGAGATAAAAAAATATGTGATTGGTAAAGTATTTCACAACGCGTTAAGAATTTCTTTTAATTTACTTACAAAGCCACTTTATTTGTGGTTTCAGATAATTAGTTCAAGAGCGCGCATGTATTCGGGAAGGAAGCAGAATGGAATTTTGCTTACTATAAATTTCAAGCATAAGTTAGTATTCAACTTTGAGGAGTCTTGTTTCCTACTTTTTCGGTTAGGTGAAGACAATTTTTTTGCTCTCGAACTGACTGCTTTCAATTTTTGTAAGAATACAAAGCAGTTTTTGTACCTGATGTAACACTTGCAATAATTTCCAACCATCAAAACTGGTTTCATAGGATCAAGTACCCAAATTTTCAATGATATAGTTTGATTGTGACTTAAGGTACTGCGTAGAGGAAACTCCGTTGTTGAAGTTTTTCAATATCGACACCTCGCTCAATTTTGGACTGATATTTCGCATCATATCACTCATAGTTAAAGACCTTTACTTTGTGTAATCCCTCTTGAGGCTAAATGTCGTCTTATTCCGTCTTTTGTAAGAGTTTCCGTACTCCAATAGCTTTACTGTTCAAGACTTAAATTGAATTAATAATTCCTTCCCGAGGTCAAATGATCTGATTCCGATAGTTCACCAAACCAACCGGAATTCATTTTTTTGCTCGATACTAACTTTCGTAATAGCGTTGCTGAGGTTAGATCGGATGGAACGAAATAAAAGTAGAAACATAGAAAACCAGAATACCAAAACTAAAGATCTTTTTCTTAACGAGAGGAAGAAACTAAACCCTCCAACGAAAGGGAAGCAATTACGTGTTTGATTGAACAGATATTCCACTCGTCGGAAAAAAAAAAATCACTTGTCTTAACATGTTTAAAAGTCGGACTTTGATTTCTGTCAGTTGTTTACGAAGAAAACGTCCCGGTTACTCTTTTCTTCAGTGAAAACTGAGTTCGTCACCCAAGGCTTATTGATTCATAATTTCAAATACAATGCAAAATTTATTTCCTAAAGTGAGCAGCTCAATCACGTAAGAAAATTAAAGTTATAGATTCCAAAAATATGATGTTTCCTTGCTCTTGTAAAATGTGCAGGCGTTTGTAGCACCGGAAACTTTTCTTCTAAAGAATTCGGAAAATTGCTTGGATGAAAAGGCATCGATAAACAAAAGGTTTACCGCTTAGCCTTACAGCTAGAGAGAGCACGACGTAACCTTGACAGTTCATTTTTTTATTTTTAGCCCAGTAGCTGTTATCAGAAATCTTGGAGATGAAAGCGATAAGTCTTTTCTCTAAAAAAGGCATGTCGAACCTCTGTAGAAAGCGGCATGACATAGTAATTGATAGCTGGACTGTCGGTAAGATAACGTGAGTATAGTTCATCTATAATCATTGATGTGTTATCAATGCACGCTGCTTTGTTCAAATCTACTTCAAACGCTGGGATATTTGACAGAAACAGATTTAGAAATTTATTTCCCTTCAGTGGTTTACCATAATACGAGCCGAAAAACCTTGTATTTTCCTAGCAGGTATTGCGATCTTGCTTAAGAAACCTTTCTTTTCAAGCGTTTTATATTAATGCTTGAATATTCTCGAACGTTACACTAATCTGCCCTAAGTCGTGCGTGATACTGGAATGAGTTTACAGAAAAGACCGAAAGTAAACTTTCCCTGATGTCGTGCAGCATAAGCAAAACGCTGGTAGAGTAATTTATGAAAAAGGCGGTCAAAAACAGCAATCCACTTTACAAAATAAACATTTCGCCCCTTTAGAGCAGTTGTAACGCGAAGTAATCAGTATTCACTGATGACAGGTTTAAGGCCTGCCAAGCTCTCTCTATTCTTGACTTGATTTCCTGTGTTTGACCTCAAGTTTTGGGTTTCTGTGGACTCCCAACTTTGAAAAAACAAATATTCTAGAAATTGAGCTGGTATTTGTAGCGGTTACAAGTGTGTGATTACAATTCAAATAGTCTGCGAACTGAAGAAAAATACAAGAAAAATGAGCCGTTACTCTACGAGAGCGTGGCTCTTGCTATGAATGTTGATCTAAAAATATTATCTTTATTCTTCCACGCGCCATTGAGATGAATGGTTGTTTTCGAAAATCTGAAATGATTGAATAGTTAAGTGTAGCAAACCTTTCAACACATTTCTTTTAAGTAGCCTTGTCGCTGGACATTTAACGAAGCAAATTTTGCTCGTTTAAAAGGCAATACTCTAGTCCGGATAATGATTTGTACTAACAGCTCGCAAATTTCCCCTGCTGATGAAATAAAGTTTCTGAATGGTCGGATACTTTGTGAAAGCTGTACGCTGTTTGTTCACAGTGGCTATCATCTGTTTTCCACATTTACAATAAAAATTTTAGTTCCTTTGACACAGAATAATCTAGAATGCTTAAAATCTTTGTTCATTCTAAGAGATTTGAGAGCCAAATATCGGACTTTTTCGTTACAGTGAAGAGGACCTTTAAATTTTGCCAAAAATCCCACATGGCAGAATTGTTTTCAACTCCTCTCTCACTACTATAATTTGCTTTGACTTTGCTCATACAATTATCAATTTTAAGCAATTAATCGAACAGGTTAGGGTTTTTTCAGAATGAAGTTTACTAGATATTTACAAGCCACGATAACAGTAATGGTCGTAGAGTAATTATGACTTAAAAGACATTCCGGCTCAAACCGAGAATGTCTGATTCTCAGAAATTATGCCATGCCTTGAATAAGCCTAGTACTTCATAGAAGATTAAAATAATGTATTGTCGTGGATTAGTTTAACTTTGACATACAGCATAATCAATTGTCTAAGTTAAACTCGCTGTGCTTGTGAATGAAAAAAGCTGCAAGAAGAATGAATTGTTTTGAAGTTTGCGACCGCAAGAATGTTATACTTTTTGTTTTGAATTGTGTACGGTGAAAAACGCAGCGAATGGTTTATTTTTGCTTCTTGTTATAAAGCGCACGAAACTTACCGATTTCCCGAAATGACAGCTCTTGACTTGAGTCACAGGCCTAGCGTCCGCGTCTTGTTTTCCTGTAACAACAGGCCCTGCACGGTACGGCACACTGCCAAATTCATTCAAGGTCTCCTACCAGAGGAAAGAAAAAAGAAACTGCCATGGAATACGTGTTTTGAAGCTGATAAAAAGTTCGTACGCCTGACCGCAATGTAATCAAAACTCATGAAACTTGACTCTTTGCCACCGGCAGATGTTCTGTAGTTTTTGCCCTTGATGCACACGCGGGTCAAATGAACTGATTACAAGGCTTGTTTCCTTAGCTGCACTACTTCTCCGCAAGGAATTTAATAATCTACACCAACGGAAACAAGTTTGACTATCTAGGTAATCTGAAATCTAATTCATACGTTGCTACGTGCAATACCTTTCCTTGCTGATTTCACGTTCGCGTTTCATCCGGTGATCGACCAAAAAACCTTTCGCTCCAAATTTCGTCGCGTCTATGCCATTTAATAAACGCGTCACATTAGCTATGCAAAAACAGCCTGGATTTGATTGAAAGGGGCTTTGGTACCACTTTACAGGTTGCGAATGTTTGCAGATCGTCAACAATACATTGTTGTTGATGTGCGAGAGCTCCATTGTGTCCCGCGGGAAAAGCAAATATGGTGGCAGAAGATAACCGAAAGGTCGGGCAAAGTTTACATTTGAAAGTGAAAATTTAATTTCGCTCGGCAGTTTTAATTGTACGCGTAAAAAAATCGTATTTAGCAATTTTCAACCAGATCGGCTGCAATTGTAGCTCAAGTCTCTTGGGTAAATCGAATTGTCTTGACTTATCTCAATTTACTCGCGCAGCGATTTAATTATCTCCAGAGGCAATTTCCATAAACAAACGCTGGGGGCCTAGATTAAGAGTAAAACTTGTAACCAACTAACAATAAACTAACGGAATTTAGTACACAAGTATTGCTTATGTTACTTTCCGAAGCTTGCTGAAATAGAAAATGCTGCAATTTTCATGCAAGAGAGACACGAGATTACAATGTGTAAAAGAGTTTTGTTAAAGTCTTCGTTAGTTATTCTTTATCCGTACACTTCATAGTACATCAGATTTAGTATTTTTTTACTCTAGTATGACGACCTCGGTAAAAACATCGACAGAAAGGCACAAAAATTAAATTTCTCCCGGTAATGTACAAGATCAATGTACAACTTCCAGCCAGTGTAGCAAAAGTACGCACTTTTTTTTTTAATCCACCAAATGAAACTCTTAGTAATTTGTTTGCGTACGTTTCTGCAAAGATGATAGAAATCTTTTTCTTTCTCATTCTTCGTTTGCGTTTACTTCTTCCATTTAGTTAAGTCGTCTATCATCTAGGTTACCGCGACTCCTAAGCTATTTTCCAACACCGGAAAGCCATTGTAGCCTAAAGTCAACGCGATCGACTGTGTGTAAGTTCGCTGCCCGCGTGTGCTAATAGTTCTCGAAACTGTTACTTCAAAGCCATTTCCGGTGGTTTATTTGTTCAGACATGCACTTGCACCAGCGAATTCACTTTTAAGAGGATGTCTTCATTAAATGACCATAAGTCGCTTAAACTTTACAAGCTCACATCTGGAAAGAAAGTCATTTCTAATCAATATACGTACCATCTTGCATGCACAGGACACTGAAATAAATTTACTCAAGATTCCTTCAAAGGAAGATTTATGCACGACATTATATGCAGGTATAAATATCCAAGCAGGTAAATTAGTGTAAATAAATTTAGTGAAAGCTGGCTCGAGATTTTTAAAGTTGATTCAAGTTTCAATTAGGATTTTGCTACCGCTTACTCAGACTTGTTTTTTAGGTTTGCAGTATTTTTAGTAAGCGAAGCAAAACATAGGTGTGTCTAAACACTGGCAATGTGTTCAGCATTCTATCATCAGAAGTTAAAAAATCAAAGCTGGCTAACAAAAACTGACCGAAACTAAGAATAGTTCAATAAGACTTTTGGTATGCGGGTTGATGAAAAAAAAAAAAAACTACAAATTCGTTACAACTGTTTTCTCATTTTACAGCTGTTCCTTAATTTGTTCGAATAGGGTTCATAATTCATATTGTGTGGTTTGCAATACGAACTGTCGGAGATATTTTCACTTCAAAAGCTTTCTTTGCGTAACTTACCAGCAACTTGCCGCGTGCTAAGCTTTCAATTTTGCTTCAGGTCAAAGAGATAAAAATCTTGCAAACCTGCTAACACACACGCGACCGATTTGAAAACCACATCAGTATTCACAGCGAGAGGTCATAGGAACCGTTGTTTTGACTCGTTATTTCAGAAGCAGGCAGCGCCGCGGTTTCGCCTCGCCCGGAAACAAAACAAACAAGTGTGGGAAGGAAGTCAAAGAAGGTAGTGAATTTTACATCCTGGGCGATCTTTGCGGTTTTAGGAGCTAGTCAACCGGTTCAGTTTAGCCCGGTGATAAACTACCCCTGAGGCGTCACGAGAGCCTAAAAAAAGATAGACAACCGGATTTCGTCATCTACAAGAATCAAATTACCATCGTTTCTAACCATTCTTTGACAATCAACTTATCCAGTTTGAATCAAAAAAAGTTAGCGCGAAAATTACGAGCTGGCCAATTAAGCTCAGCTCATTTCTCATCAGTATATGTCGTTCTTTGTCTAAAGCTTTCTATCAGAATTATGAAGATTACTTCAGTCTGCCAAGTTCTTAAGGCTAGCGTTACAGTACATGATCTTGAATGTAAAAAGAAAAATTGAGACTCTTAACAAATAAGATAACCCAAAAACACAATTCAGTGTCAAGGTGTGGCTCAAATTATTTTAGATACGGACGGCTCTAAAGGTTCTTAGGCATCCGGTAACGTGGTTTGCTAAATGCAGGATAAATTCTATATCCAAAGAGACAAGTTTACTCAAAAATAAATAAGGGCCAAACTTAGAATGACTTACTTGTTTGATCTTACCGAGATGAAAAAGATTGTGGCTTTTGTTTAACTGGCTTGAACTTGAATGGGTAACAAAACTGATTAATAAAATATGACACGGATGATGGAGACAAACACAGTTCAGTGAAACAGGAAAAGGGTGTTACGACCTGGGAGACTGTAAATTAAAGCAAAATTGTCAGTCATAAAGGAAACATTTAAATGATTAACGTATCAATGAAACCGCACTGAGAAAATGTTGAAGAGCAACCAGAAGAAAATGAAAGGAGATGGATGAAAAAAAATAACAGGTAGATAGCTAATAGAAGACGCTCTGGTCTCTTTGAGAAGATGCAGATAAAGTCGCCGGTGGCCTATGGGAAGGAAATGGATCGTCAGATGTGAAAGAAACTAGTCAGCTGCTTTTAAGGAAGACCATTTGCATTGGCTGACAGAGTCAGCGAATATAATTTTAAAGTCAAAACGACAGATGTCACCTTATAAATAACTTGAAGAAAGTTAGTTTATGAACAAAAAGACATTGAACTGAGTGCCAAGAATGAAGTTAAAAAAAATCAAATTCTTTATTCAAAGGCTTAGTCAAAACTGGAATTCAGAGTCCAATTGAAAAACACTCGCCCTAAGGTTAATTATATTGAACACGTGAACTAAACCGGCTACCTTCATGCTTAGTGAAAGCAATACGATCTATAATTTTGACTGAAGAGACAACTTCAAGAAGTTACTGGGTACATCCTCTGTTTCATCGAACCAAAAATGTCGACGTTTGAAACCTTTTTGTTATCTGTATGATTTATTCCAAGGTATAATTGTGGAGGCGTCTATTTTGTTGCTGAAGTTGATGAACAAAGGTTCATCTTGTCTCTTATTGATTCGATCTACTTAAGTAGGCATCAGATTTACAAATAATCACAACACTTGGATTTGAGTTTTTTCGGTGGTGATATCATTCTTACGCACCTTCCATGGACAGTTGCTTGAGAAAAATCAATTGTTTGAGCGCTTTTCAACTAAATATCCTGAAACCAAACTTGATAGTTGCAAAGTCGTGAACAACCAATCGGAGCAGAAGAGAAAGCTGCTAGAGACTAGTACATACATGTAATCGGCATTAGCACGGGAAACACGAGCTGAACTTACTTTTCATCTGATTGGTTGAGAAGAAAGAGTGAGTTTCCTAAACCACCTACGAAGCGAACCGATGCGAAATCGGTCTTACCCCAGATTTATTTCCATACTCAGTGAAAAAGTTTTCCCTAAAAATACTGTACGATTGTTTATAAAAACTGCAAACTGGTCACTTGCCTTCCTTGTGAAAATCCTTGTCATCTGAAAGACGACATTTTCCTTAATGGTAAAGAAAACTTTGAAGTTTACACTAACCAATATGGCGCCCTTTTCATCCCAATATTATAAAGTAGGTTCGCGTGAGAGCGTGTTTTGGCTCAGGGTGGTATGAATTAATGAACAAAGTTATTTTAGAATGGAGTCAGTTGCCACTAAAAATAAAATTTTCTGGTATTGATCAACCACAATAGGAAGAAAATGCCGCCAAAGGATGTATCAATTTCTTAACAGAAACATTTCGTGAATTACAGCGATATAAACGCAATATAGAACGTATCATAGTGCTTATGTTTACGTTGAGGCCAGCGAAGTTCTAACTATCTTTTACTTTGGTTCAGCAGCTTGTTTTGATCTCATTCAATTTCTGCGCATTCAGTGCAACCTTCAGTGGCAGCTGGTGAAAACTAACTCAGAGATTTATGCAATGACAGTTGTGGTTCAGTTATTAGATGTTTGATAAAGCGCCATCACGTTAGCTCTACCTCAGAGTTGCGTGATTACCAATATTCGCCCACGAATATTCACAGCTGTAAACTTCTTTGTGCCTTTGTAAAAGTCTTGAATGTAAAACAGTTGGCCGCAGCAGTAGGCTGTGTGGTGAATTGATTCACTATTAAAACTCCCCAGTAAGGAATAACCGGAAATTTCAAAGGGGTGTCCGTACCTGGTTGAGAAAGGGAATTTCAATCACCAGTACGTAACCAAATGTACTTCACTTCAAAGGTTTGCCGTCGACAAGTGCCTATCTATGATAACCCAATGTACTGAAATCAGCTGAAAGCTATCACTATATAAGTGAGCAATGGAGATTGAGCGATTTTTTCCATCCCTGTCACAAATAGACAATACTCAGCCACGGAGTCTAGGCGACAGGACGTACAAACTAGTTTCCGGCGCCCGAAGCTTCTTTTTTCCTTTTTACCTCTCATGAACAGGAAATATGGGGCGTAAAAGCATAGAAGGATGGGAAATACGAACAGAAGCAACGATCGATGCAAATTACACAACTTGATAAGAGAAATGATGTTAATTTCTTTGGCTAAGGGTTTTCAATATATTTTTTCGGCGGAGGATTAAGAATTGGCTTAAGTTAACTCCGCTGCCACTGACTCACTGAGAAAAGCCATACACTCGGGCTGACTTCGCTTACATTTCCCAGCGACGATAACTCAAGCGCTTAGCATGAAATCAGGTTTTTTTGTTAATGTTTTTATCTCAGAGGAGCTTTAGATTTGAATTGTACTTGAACTGAGTAAAAGTAGAGCAATACCTCACCCTTGAGTTAAAAGACAATATTTCAAATGTCAAAATTTGAGGCGTACTTCTTTTTTCCACTTTAAGTTCCTAGTTATTCTCTGGCATTTCCACTTGTGTCTTAAACTTAAAAGATCATTGATGCTCTTAATGATACCTTCTCTAACCTGCATCTATATTTGTGTTTTGTTTTTTTTTCTTTTCTTTCTTTCCCATAGTGTTTAACCCTTATCAAAATGAAAGGTTAAAAGAGCTTTCCTGTTCAGAACTCGCAAATTGTGGAGTTATTTTTGGTATTTCGATCAAACCAACGGTCCAAAAGGTTTTGAGCATCAAACATACAGCAAAGGACCTGTTTAACACCTTTCCAACTAAAACTGACAAATATGGCTTGAAGATTTGTTTCATTTGCACTCGAACCGTTGTGATCATGTCAAGCCCTCGATTCCATAACAAATGTTTAACGAAAGAGCCGAACCACGTTCTAAGTGGTGTCGAATCGGTTAATTTTTTTGCTTCTATTAGACCATTTGGCCGACAGCTTAGATTTGTATAAAAGATTCTATTGTATTCTTTGTAGTTCATGCCTGGTTGCTTGCGAAAAGTCAGTGAACCTTGGAATATTTATAATTTCAGTTGCAAATATTGGTCTGTCAGTGTGGGAAAATTTTAGCACAAATGTTTCCTCAATGTTTCCACAGAACCCCGGCGAGAAATCGAAGTTTATTACGATCTGAGCTTCATCGGGAGGAAGTTTGTAAAACAACAATAACGATTTCGTATCCAAATGCTAAAAAGATCAGAGCGAATGTCTTAGTAGAGAGCACAAACCTCAAAATACACGGAAGATCTTTGAACAAATATAGGTTCTTTACCCCCAAGAAAAGCTTTTCACTTAATGCGTTATAAAGTTTCTGATCCCATATTTTTTGGCTTCGAAAATCGTGCCAAATTTACTTGACTTTAAGTTGTAATTAAGAGTCGCTAATTTTCCGTTCGATTTATGTAAGTCAGCGTGAGTTAAAAAACACTATTCAAAGACGAAAAAAGCCTTACAAGACATTTACACAGCTAAATAAATTTCGCAGTCGAAAAACTCCAGGAATCAACGTTCGAACTTTGCTGCAAATACGCAGAGTAAACAAGACATCTGTACTAAAAATGTACCGAAAGATTCGGACAAGAAAAATTGTATCATACCTTTTAAGTTGCCACGAGCGGTCAATATAGCTCAGAGTTGACTTTAGAGATCTCTTGTATTTAAGAGAAAAATTCTCCTCTCTAAGCAATAAACTTTCTGTTGTTGTTTCCTCGCAAAGCCCTCCAATAGAAATCTTCAACGCCCAAACGGTCCTTTCTCCGAACAGCGAGATTAAAATTTCAGGTACTGGTTTGACTTGGTTGCCACCGTCAGACAAAGAGCGTTGGGCTTAACGATATGCAAACGTTGCTGCAGGCGATCAGGCGGCGATTTCTCTCAAAATGTCACAGAACAAAAACAAAGACTTTATCTTAGTCGCTCAAGCGTCTTTGGACTTGCGCTGTAGTCAAAAGAAAGTTTAAGGCACTTTTCTCATTGAAATGCAATGTTTTAAAACGTGCTCTGACAATGGACCGAAAAAGCCATTGACAATACTGTAAGTGCGTTTTGTCACGCCTTAGTTCACACGCGAAATTAACGTCTTTGATGGGTTTTTGCGGTTTAGTCGTGTTTGAAAGCAAATAGATCATGTTTGACTTTTAATAAAATCCCAAAAAAAAAGGAAACATTAAAAAATCCAGCGAGTGTTATAAATGTTGTTGTTTTTACCGGTATCCATACGATGTTATTTACTTCAAATACTGAGATATCCACTTATCGCTAAAATAGAAAATGACATGAAATGTGCAATTGCGGTAGAATTTTTGAAAGTATTTAGCAATACTAGCTCTCTCGCGTGCGCCTTATTAACGACCTTTGTTGCAATATCCGCCACTAGCGTCCTAAGTTACTTAGTTCTATGTTCGTCTAGCAAAGCGAAAAATTTGTAAAACTTTTCCTCACCAGGAGAGAGCTGTTCGATTCACCTGTTGCTCATTCGCTAAACTTATTTCTTTTTTTTTTTTATTTTTGCTACAGTTGTTAATCTGAACAAAGAAAACGATACAGAAACCCTTTTATTTAATTCTCCGGTAATTAAAGGCATTATCCTAAAACGAATAGCAACAAAACTGTCGAACGAATTCCTTTTTTATAAAAGTTTGAATAGAATTTTTTCCTTTAAGATGCTGGAAATTTTTGATACTATACTACTGGCTAACGAGACTGTGCATAATTGTTTCACTGTTCTACAAAAACAATATTATGAAATAGAAGTCTATTACAAACAGAATTTTTTTTATATAATTGGCCGTTTCAAAGTATTTTGAGGCACCAATTTTGCAAATAGTTTCTTTTTAAGAAAACGCAAATAATAAGAATGTTTTATGTTATCATTTTCAAAGCCGTATGTCGAAAGTTGCGATTTTGCGCTGTTCCGCTCGTAGAGGTTAAAGAAAACTCGTTGGTGACTTAGTTCGTATATGATAAGTGCTCTGCATCGTGCTATTCAAGTGTTTGAACTTATTTTTCGGTTTTCTACATTCACTTTGGTTATTCTGAAAGAGTGCTCAACCTTCTCGTCGCCAATTTAAAGTGGACACTTGAATTTCTCCGCATCTTCAGAATATTTTCAAGCCCGATTGGCCCCAATCTGAAATAACAACATTTCTCAGTATTATTTGAATATGAAGGGAGCGTTCCTTTCTCAAAGGCAGCTGGGTAATACATTCACGCAGCTGAGAAATAACCCTTAGGCTGCTGAAAACAACGCTTCTCATTTGCCTTGAGAAGCATAATTTCAATCGATTATAATGAGACGAAAGCACCGGTCAGTTCTGTGGCCAAACACTTGCCTTTCGTCTAACGATTCAAAAATTAAGAACAATGTTTTTGCGGCCCATGGAAACTTGAATTAGCACCAAAGACCTGAGCTGTTGAAGCCTGCCTGGTTTGTCTGACATATAATTGAATTGCAAAACCATCGATGGCCGTAGAATGCGTAAATATCTTGGAGTACATTTTTGATTTTGCTGTGTATTTTCGCTAATTAAAGATTTCAAACATGAGTGCAAAGTATTGTTTTGCTAAATAAACAGTATGTAGCCTGAAGCCATCAACACCACGAGAAGTTATTTCCGGAAATTGTATTCAAGTCTTTTCTGCAGCGAGCGTGACCTGCCCATTCAAAGGTGTTAATGCTCATTAGAGACTTTCTGGTGAGTGAATAAAAGCGCGTGCAAAACTTTGAAAGACAGCTTTTTACAGTTAACAATGGCAAGATGTAACACAAAGATATATGTTTTCTCTTCGGTCTTAACTTTGTAACTTAACTTTGATCGGGCAAATGGTAGTGGAAACCAAATTTATTTGGTGGATTTGTAAGATCTTTTCCAGCTAGATAGAAAACAATCTCTCTTTTCTAACTCCGAAATAAACTCTATTTAAAGACTCCCAACTACTTAGACTCCTTGAAATGTCAGTTTTGCTCAGATATTTGACATTTCATAGATACACACTCTCCGGCTGATGAACCTCGCCTCATCAGTTTGCTGGCAATTTTATCGGCTTTGTCAAGAAAAAATTGTAATTAATCAATGGAGCTAGCTGGCGCCCGCGACCAGACGCTCTGCAAAGTTCTGATGTGTTTTAGTCCTTCTAGGTTTGAAGTCGTTAAAGTGATATGCTATCAAACGCTGCATAAATTTCGCCTGTATAACGTCAGCGTAGGCCATTTCATTAAAAAAATCTCAACCAAACTTGAAATATTTCTTTCCTCTCCTAAGTTTTCAGCACAAATCCTCTGGTGAAAGGTCCAAAGCCATCCATCAACTGTACGTGAAAGGCATTTTATTTTCATACAATTCAGAAATATTGATAACACGCATACAAAACTGATAGAGTTCACACTTTTGAATGACTGGATATCGCAAAGCCAATATAACAAAAATTAGACGATTTAAAAGAAGGGTTTCAATAAAGAACAGTCATCCTTGCATCTGATATAAACACACAAAATCTCTGTTATCGTCAAACGAACGTAGTTGACAGAGCGCTATGAGATCTCTTTTGCTCAATTTGTTTGATTGGAATTTGCCGCAACGGTCTCCGGTACATGCACTTGTTAACCAACGTTTGGGTTTGAAACTCAAGGAGAGCCAGCCTCTTGAGAACTAAATTCTGTTTTGTTTTTGTTCTTTAAGTGCAGAAAATCTCACCTTATGTTCCCGTCTTAGGACTTCTGCTGATGAATCAACAAATTTTCACAGAAAGGGTAACGAATCCACCAGCAAAGCACAAGTAAACCATCGCGGGCGATTTTACCTCTGCGCTCCCAGCACAAACATGGATCTAGTCTTTCGCACAAAAGAATAATTTCACTTTGTTTCAATCAAGAGATCGTATTATCCTAGTTTCAATAAACAAGCCTAGCACAAAGCTTAACAAATCAAAACAAAAAGAAGTTTCTAAACTTGAAATTCATCAAGAGCAGCGTATAAAACAGAAAAACCAAACAAATTATTTTCCTCATGAAACATTCAACTGCCCACTTGAGGCAATTTAAATTGGCGCTTTTTTCTTTCAGCTTATTTTTTTATCCTTCGACTCACAACTGAAACGTAATTAAATCAACGTTAATGAACCCCACGAATGTTTGATCTGAACCCGAGCATGTTAATTATGTATCTCAATTGTAATTAACGCCACGTGTGCAGTTGTTTACTCTATATTCGCGTGGCAGGTGTGTTATTGTTTTCGTTTACCTTAGCCAATCTCGTTTTCGCGCCCTCGCGAATTGATATACCCGCAAAAGCCTGCTAGCATTTGGCTTTTTTGCGGCCGCGTCTTAGCGATATATCTTTCAGCTGGTGTTGTCTTTCATTCGCGTCGCCTGATAAAGGAATCAATTAAACCACCATGTGCACAACAAAAACTGAAAATTATAACTGGTGTCACCGAATTCTAACTGTGACCAAGCGTGGGAATTTTTAGACTTCTCTTACGTTCCTTGTCCGTTACAAGCCAGTGAGGACTGAATTCGATGCAAAATGAAAATAAACTGTTCCGAAAAAAAGAAACAGCAATTCGGACTTTAAAGTTAGAAAGATCATGATGACTGTAGCTTGTTTGATTTCAGATCTCTGATTTGTGCACATCAGCTCGGAAGAGAATGAAATGAAGAGTGGCTTACATTTCATGGGAAAACGAATTCACCCTCTCAATTCAATAGAGTAGAAATAAGTTATGCGTTTAATCTTATTTTCTTGAAATCCGTATTTTTAATTTTCACCTTCGGGGGATGGATTTTCTTCTGGAAACACAACAGTATGAAACTTCCAGCGTTCATAGATAACTCGCAGTTTCGCTTGTTTTTTTTGTTTTTCTTTTGTAATCATTCATGTATGATAAGTCCAATAACGGTTTTTTTCTTTTTCTATCTTCTAGTCAGAGTCCAAGCTGCGATTTCGTCTTTCCCACGGATTGTTTATGCCTCAAACAACAGATTGAACACGCGACCATTGTCCACGCGTGCGCGATTGTACTCTTGAACATTTGATCATTTCATCGCACACGTGTGGGTATCACCATGACACGTGTCACTGCCCGTTCGCTTTGAGGTCTTTTGTTTGACATAATGCCGAAGAAACAGGTGTATGGCAAAACCATGATCAATTCCCACGGTTCTATCGATCTTTTTCAGTCCTAATAACCTTGTTTGTCGTAGTCTAAAGAGATTCATCACACCTGCAGCGCTGCGCTTTTACAGCAGTGCTTTTTTTCTTAGCTTTGTCCAAAGCGCGTGGCAAGTGTTTTTTGGGCTACTGTTACTTTCATTTTTCCCAAATCTCTGTACAAACGCATTTGAGAATGCTACTAGCAGAGCGCTTGTCACTTTTAAATCTAGTTATGGCTTTGCTTGTAAACACGATTTCTGTAGTTCAGTTGCTAGTGCATTCGGACTCGGCGAAATTGAAAACAGCTAGAGATCAAAACTAAACGGGTAACGCGGAAAATTTTCTTTGCTCTGCATTTGTGACAAATGTTTAACATCATTGTCGTCAACTGTGAAAAAGATCTGTTGCTAATAAAGAAACGCAATTTTACATCCCTGAATTTCTAATATTTTGCATCTTAATGTAAATGCAGGAACACTTTAAAATCTAGTTTATATTCTTAGGGTACTTTAAATCATTTTTATGTGGCAATTTTTATGTGGCAACTGTATGTGGCATTTTTTATTTGCCCATGTAGCTGGCTCGACAAATATTTGTTGTTAATTTGCGTCAGTAATAATTTTGCACAGCGGAGATGCTCATGGAAAGGAAAAAGGCAAGATGGCGAAAGTCAGAAGACGTGCCAGACGTGTTGCAGCTTTAGGTGCGTTTGTTACATTTTATATGGCGTCTCACCTACACAGACAATTTTTTATGTGGCAATTTTTATTTGCCACATAAAAACTAACACGCCAGCTTTTCAGCAAATGCAGTTGACACATAAAAATTGGTAATTTCTCATCATCTACACGGGCAAATAAAAATTGCCACATAAAAATTGCCTTATAAAAATTGCTCGTGTAGACGGGGCTTAAGTGTGACCCATCGTATCTCTCAAACAAGTACGGTGACCTATCTTTTTGTAGTTTTCGAAACAGACATTGGTAGGGAACATTCAAGGAAACTTTAAAAACATTTTTTCGATAACCTTTTTTCCGAGGAATCACCTTACCAGTGCTCGAGATACTGACGTAACGATCCATCTAAAGAGAATCTTAACAGTGCGTGAGATACTGACGCAACAATGGATCAAAAGAGAATTGTAACATAACTAAAGTAAAGCGCGCGCTCTGATTTTCCACGCTGCTGTACATACA